GAACACAAAAAGCACAAAGCACGAGTGAAAGAATTGAAAATTGGACCTCACAATTAAAAACACTTGTGCTTTGAATAACACTGTTAAGAAAATGAAAAGAGGGTGGTGCCTGTGGCTGGAAGGAATAGGGTGCCAGCCCCATAGGCCGGAGGTGGCGGGTTCAAACCCAGCCCTGGCCAAAACTGCAAAAAAAGAAAATGAAAAGACAGGCATGGATAGAGAAAAAATATTTTTGAAACCCACATCAGGTAAGGGAATTTGTATTCAAAATATATAAAGAAGTCTAATAAATCAAGAATAAGACGACAGATAACCCAATTTAAAGTGCACAGAAGACTATGCAGATACTTAACCAAATATACAAATGGCCAGTAAGCACATGTTTGACGTCATTAGTTATTAGGGAAATAACTAATTAACTAAACCACAATTTGTCACTACACAACCCTGGAACGGCTAAAATCAAGATGTCTGCCAATATGAAGTAATAGCAGGTATATGAAGCAACTTGAACTCTCATGCATTGCTTGTCAGAATGCAAAATGGTACAGTCATTTTGAAACAGTTCGGCAGTTTTTATAAAGTTAAACCTATAATTACCATATGTTCTGGAAATTCTGCTTCTAGATAGTTACCCCAGTGAAATAAAAACATGTGTCTTCAGAAATACCTGAATGTCAGAGCAGCTGAATATTCTGAAATCTGGATGTTTATAGCAGCTTTGTTCATAACCGTGAGGAAAACGCTCAAAAGAATCCAAATGTCCATCAGCTGGGAGGTGGACAAACGGCTACATCCAAACAACCAGATGCTCCTCGACAGCTGGAGAAACAGACCACTGATCCACGCAAAGAGATGGAAGAACGTAGACACTTGGTGCCAAGTAAAACTGCCAGGTACTAAGAGATTTATATTGTAAGTTTCCATCTCTTCAGTAGATAGATTGAATTCCGGTTCTCCTGGGGAAAAGGACTAATTGTGAGCTTTGCCTGGGTGCTGCCTCAAGCGATTGCCCTATCTGAGAGGAGGGACGAGGGCTGCCCCACCTTGATCCTATCCTGCCACACCTGGGGGAAATTAGGAAAGCCTGGGGGGCCAGGCACAATAGGACTTGGAAAGTGATTTAGAGCTAATTATCTTGTTAATTGTCTAGCAAAGTGGTTCCCTGGGGATGTCTGAACCACAAGGAGGGGCCAATCCAGAGGTACAAACAGAACCCCAGACTATTAGCAGAGTCTTTCGGTCATGACAGAAGGTGCCCGTGTGCTGTCACACATCTTGCTCCATTAACCTATCTTTCTCTTCTTCCATGAACTTTGTCTCCGGCTTGCCTTGATTTTGGTGGGTCTGGTGATTCTTTAGCCAAGACCATACCAAGAACTGAGAACACAGACAACTGCCTGAACCCCAACACATCTATATGCCACCCCATAGAAGGCAAAACAACAGAGCCAGAAAATTGGCTAATGGTTGCCAGGATCTGGGGCTGGGAAGAAGGGATTAACCTAAAATATAGTGAAGAAGACTGTTTTGGAGTGATTGAAACAGTCTCTATTTTGATTGTGGTGGTAATTACGTAATTGTACCCTGCCAAAATTCTTCAAATCTGACATTTAAAAGTTGAATTTTATTGTATGTATGAAAGAAAGGAATGAAGGGAGGGAAAGAAGAGGGAGGGAGAAAGTGAAAGAAAGAAAAATACCGATTTTCCCATTCTTCATCTCGCGTGTGCTCTCTCTCTCTTTTTTTTTTTTTTTGCAGTTTTTGACTGGGGCCAGGTTTGAACCCACCACCGGTTGAGCCACAGGTGCCGCCCCATTCTTCATCTCTTTTTGAGATCCCTGAACCTTTGGTGGAGAGTGAAAAGAACACAGAAATCAGACTGGATGGGCTCTACCCCATCACAGGAAGATTTCTTAGACCCTTAGAAGTGTAGCTTTCTTTTCCTTAAGTGACCTCAAAGGGCTACTGTGAAGATTAAATGCGGTAACGTTTGAAAGCAATAGCTACAGAACAAAACAATGAAATACAACAACAACAACAACAAAAAAAAAACTGGGTGCCTAATACCTCTCATTTGTATTAAAAAGATAAACCAGCAAGGGAGTTGACTGAGGCCAAAGTGTTCTTTATTGCAGCTTTATGCAGCTCATCATGACCTTGGGGACAGCTAGTCTTCCTCTGCGATTTCTGACAGTTAGGTGGTAAGTCACCAGCCCAGAGGCAATCCCGTCCTGGGCAGTCTGTCTGATTGAATCACACCCCCTGGGACCCAGCTAATGAGTACATTTGTACAGCAGCCAATTTGGAACATTAAGGGGTAAAAATGCTAGGGCAAATATTTCTTGAAGAACCCTAACCCTCGGTCTTTATTAAGGCTGCACCTATGAAGATAACCTTCCCGGTGATGCGTGATGGGTCAACCTCACTTTTCTCTCAAATTGAAGCAGCCTGCAGCTGAGGGCAAATGCCACCAAGACCCCAGACAGCTCAACTTGGATATGCAGATCAGGCTTGTTGTTAAGCACTGAGAGAGTCAATTCATTTAATATCGTTTTATTATGAGTTCAGGTGCAGCTCAATTTGCAAGTTTTCCTTTCAAAATCGTTCAGCCATTAAAGCTGCATAATCTTTGGATGTTTTGAAGACACATAATTGATAAATGTTTTTCCTCTTCACACATTCTCTCTCATGTTTATTCATGGAAAATGAACCAGTTGTAACTTACACAAAGGCTTGGGGCATCGGGCCTCCCGCATTTCTAAAGGGAAGGAAAGGGGGCTCCTGTCTCAGAAGCCATTTGAAGAGGGGAGAATTCAAGGCCTGAAAGGCAGAAAACTCAATCTCAGGTTCTAAGCGGCCTTACACTGGCTTGCAAGACTGAGGCATCACGAGGGTCACCTGGCACCCAGACGGGCAAATGCTTATGACTAGCTGTTTGTGAGGCAAGCAAGGCTTATTTTTGGATATTTCATGTCTTTCTGAATCTACACTCCCTTTGATTGTTTTGCTTACCAGTCATGAGGCCTGCCCTTCGGAGCAGTGCCCTGGGCTATACACCAGCAGTTCTCAAGCTCCACTGCTTGTTAAGGTCACCTGGGGATCTGTAGCAATCCCGCTGCCTGGGCTGTGCTTTGGAGTCTCACGGTGAGGGATATAAGAATTGGCATTTTTAAAAGCTCCTGAGATGATTCCAACACGCAGGTGGGCTGAGAACTGCTGTTCTGGGCCAGTCCTTCTCCAAGTGTAGTCTGAGAAAGTCATCAGCTGCCGAATTCCCTAGGCTGCTTGAGAAAATGCAGATTATTAGGTCCACCAGCCCTACAAAGGCTCGAGCCTCCAGGTGGGATCTGGAAAAGGTGGTTTAATAAGCTCCACAGGTGATTTTTAAGGACCCTAACGTCTGAGAAGCGCTCCTAAACCCGTCACTAGCCCTTCTATTTCTTTCTTTCTTTCTTTCTTTTCTTTCTTTCTTTCTTTCTTTCTTCCTTTCTTTCTTTCTTTCTTTCTTGTTGTTTTTGGCCAGGGCTGGGCTTGAACCTGCCACCTCTGGCCTATGGGGCCGGTGCCCTACCCCTTCCAGCCACAGGCGCCCCCCCTTCTATTTCTTTTGATAGAGTCGTTCCTGCTCCTCATCAGTCCTGCTGGTCTTCCAGTTCCTCAAAGGCATCAAGCTTCTTCCATCCTAATGCATTTTACAGTTACGGTACTTGGAAGACACTCTCCTGTCTGTCTTTGACATTAGGGACTGAGACACATTAACTGATGAAATTGTCACCCCAGAAAGTCATTGCAAAGTGTATGTTCGGGGGAAGAAAAAAGACACTGGAGGGCCTTGGGAAAGAGTGGGACCGAAGGTTCCCTGTCTCTCCGGGGAAGTCATAGAGATTGCTCCCAAGTTGGGGCCAGGAAAGCCAGGAGGTTTGATGTTGTCGACAGTGCTGGGATGGGAGGGAAGACTTGAAAGATGTGGCACACATGGGGTCAGACATTAAAGGGGCAGCCCTGGCCAACCAGCAAGAGCCAGCTGTGCCAAGAGGCATCTAACACGTACCCAGCAGGACCGGAAGGTGCAGCTCTCCAGACCTGTGCCTTGGGGCGTGTGTGCAAGGGGAAGAGGGACACCAAAGGGCAAAGCGGGGCAGTGGAGGACGCCCCAAATAGAGGGAACAGTCACTCTGGCTACCTCCAATGAATATGGACGATGGGAAAATGTTTGCAGAAAGTTACTTTAGTCTTTGAAGTCCGGTGTGATTGAGAAAGTATGATTTAATTTAAAGCTGGCTAATTCAGCTTCCCATCAGCTGCAGATCTTTCAAGTAGACGTCTATTCTTCCAGGATAGTGTTTCCCAAACTTTAATGTGCACATGAATCAACTGAGATTGAGCAGATCTGGGCTAGGAGCTGAGAGCCTGCATTTCTAACCAGCTCCCAGGTGCTCCTGGTTCGAGCACCACACGTAGAGCAAGGAGGTTTGGATATCTGAGACTCATCATGATGAGTCCCAGGAGGAGCCAAATTCAGAAATGCCTATTGAATCATCAAGTTCTGTGTTCGATTCCAGATAGCTTTTTAAATATATCCTTGTATTCTAATTCTCTAAAGAGACAAAAATGATATGGTAGCACTCTATTAACCGAAATACACATTTAAATGGAACTCCCCAATTTCAACATGCTGGAAAAATAGAAATCACTTCCATTTTGCTTACCTGTTTCTAAGTTGTTAATGGTAAGATAATGGGCATTTGCCGAATTGTCTATGTTTTTGTGCCTGAATAAGGTGGGAGATTAAATATGCACAGATGGTCGCAAGAGGAAACATTTTAATAGTCTTCTTTTGGTCGTTTATTCACGAGCTCACGTGGTAAAGTCTGCCTTTCAAAACAGGGAGAAAGACACTGAGTAAAGAGCCATCTTTGGCAGCTGAGAGTTTCATTTACAGGAATTTTATTAGGAAACTGTCAAAGTGACTAGATTTCACAAGAGGATTGGTCAACACTGCTAACTTGTTCTGAGCAGTCAGCTCCGCTCTCTGAATTGTGAGGCTGGCTGGGACATGCTGGGGAGGACAACGTCAAGTCCACCAGGAGAACACTGCTGGCTTTTGCTAATGGTAAGCTGGGCTGGAAAGAGAACAGAGGTCTTTGACAACACGTACAGGAACTGTGAGGAAGGTGGGCCTGGGAGCCATCCCAGGAACATGGGGAGTACACAGAATGTCCTTTCATGCATTAAGCATCGGTCTGAGATGGGCTGATCTAAGGTGGGCTTAGAGTTTACAGTCTTTAAAATCCAGACCAAACTTGTGCTCTCAGCCACAAACTAGATGTGTGTGTGTGTGTGTGTATCTCTAGTTGAATCAAATCACCAGGTTGGCTGAGACTTTAAAAGGCTATCTGTCAGCTCTTGGTGGTGGGACACAATTATAAGAGGGACTTTACCTAACAAATGCGATCAGCATGATCTAGTACTCTGTGCCCTCAATGAATCCTCAACAATAAAAAATAAAATAAAAACAAAATAGAACTTACAAAAATTAAAAAAAAAGCTATCTAATTAATGCATTGTGTCAGATAGATCCTAATGCCATCAATTCCAGACAGAGAGGAATCCATTCTATTCTAAAAATTCTCCAGGTTAAGTCCATTTAACAACTTTCCTCACAATTACTCTGTTCAGCACCCCGTGTAGTCAGGAAACATTGGTTTATAACTAATATTCGTCAGGTTTTAGAAAGTTACTGAGCTTTTAAACCAAAAACTGTGCTTGGCTCTGTGAGGATACGGATGTGAACAAGGTGGAATTCCTGCCCACTTCTCGTTTGTCACAGCGGAGCTCTTCCAAAACTTCGTGTTGATCCTTCATTCAGGATTAACTTTTCCCCTGAGCTCTCATAAAATTTCACTTCCAGCTTTGTTACAGCATTTATCACACTCTGCTTTTTGTCAGGGTGTGTGTGCGCGCACACGCACACTACCTCCGTGCTGGGTTAGCACGCTTCTTCAGTCCCAAAGTAGAGAAGTTGGGGTCCACTCGAGCATCTGTCCCAGTTTAAGATTCTTTGAAAAAAAATTAGTGGAAACTTAAGAGAATCTATGCTTTACTAGCCAACGTTCAGTGCTTTTGCCAGAGCAGAAACTTGAATTAAGTTAAACTTAAGTACCTGTTGAATTAAAAACTAACTTTTGGTGCTCAAGAAATAGGTATAATATCAGTTATGTGGCCTCATTTGCTGCAGCAAAAGATCAAAACAACATAAATATCCATTGGTGGCCATTGGCTAAGTACAGCTTCACACACCCACGTAATAGAATACCACGCACCTGCTGGGGATTGAGGACATCTGTGTGTACCCATCTGGAACCATCTCCAGAATACGGCGTTGGGTGAAACAAATGCAATGTAGAATGATGTTTATGGTATGCTAATAAAAAGGCGTGTACACATACATGTGTGTGTGCATAGACTATTTCTAGAAGGAAACAAAAGGAATTGGTAACAGAGGTTGCCGACTAGGAGGCATTGGAACAGAGATAGTGGTGTGTTAATAAACTAGTTCTTTGGGGATGAAAAGCCCCAGTTGTAGGATTGATAATTTCTGTGATATAAATATCTTCTTGGCCAACATCAACCTAACCATGGTTTAACGAAAGGTGCACAAAATTCAGTTGGCTTCAGTGAGCCGATGAGAGCTAGTTTCAGAGCACACCACTAGGCACAGGGAGAGCCTACTTTCTAGCATAGATCCTTTGGTGCAATGTTTAATTTCTTATACCATCTTGGATTTAAAAATGTAAAAATGAAATTTTGAATTTAGAAGAATGTTCATGCTTAGCTTGGTGTATGCCTTTAGGCTTCTCTTCTCCAAGATAATCTTAGTCTTCTTTCCTTGATATTACTATTCCTCTATCCTGTACCTCTTCAGTCTTTCTGTTCTTCCTACTCCTGAGACCTATCTATGTAGTCTGGGATGTGTGAAATAAACAAAGAAATGAATAAATACCAACAAAAGTCCACAATACAACATTTGCAACCTCTTGATACGTAAAGAAGACAGTTATCGCCTAAGGGTAGCAACTTAAGAAGACAGTTATCGCCTAAGGGTAGTTTAGGCCAAGGAAGAGTCACCTCCTTGAAGACACTGCTGCTGAAGACAGGGGACAAAAGCCCAGTTTCCTAGCCCCTGTATGGGTGTGTGGCTCTTCTACAGGAAAAGGGGGCCCATGCCGAATCAATGGCCCGCTTCTCTGTCACGGCAGCTTAACCTAGAGGGAGCTGGCTGCGGTAGAATTTCTCGGCAGCCCTTGCACACACCCCTAACCCTGCCAAAGTACGGCTCAGCCAAGCTGGTCAGGACACCCCAGGCCCTGCCAACTCCAGGATCCTGTCTCAACTCACTCTAGAAGTTGTTCTGCTCTGCACCAATCCCTCCACCTGACTTTTATGATTGGTTTGTTGGGGCTTGAAAAATGAAATCTCAAAGTATGGTGCCTTGGTATGCAGGGTATTTTGAATTGAAGGAAACTAAAAAGGCTCAAAGCAGTCTCACAGTCTCTGACCTCCTCTTGACTGCTGGGCTCTCCCCGAAGCAACTTATAGAAACCAGAATTCCTCTTCCCCAGGGTAGGTCATAGACACTGGAACCCCTGTCCTCCCAAGCAATTCATAAAACTCAGAAGTATCGCTTTACCTTTCCCCTGCCTTGCTTTGCAAACTGGAGGTCAGATGTTCTCCGACCTACTGTGTCTGATGATAGATAACGGAGGCATCCTGCCCTAGTCCCTGCAGGAAGGAAAGCTAGGTACACAGAGCGCCCCGAATAGTCTGATCGGGCAGGCTTTGGCGGGTTTCCCCGTTGTTACCATTAGATCATACTCTTTTGCCCAATCTCATTTCTGTAACACTGTCCATTCGTCTAATCTAAGCATGAAAGTGAACAGTTTCCCCTCAATCTTCAGGTTTTCATTTCTGAAAGATCCCACATCACATAAAACTTTGATTACCTACACTTGTTTTGCTTCTCTCTCTCTCTCTCTTTTTTTTTAGAAAAAAAGTCTCACTTATCTCCCTTAGCAGAGTGCTGTGGCATCACAACTCACAGCACCCTCCAACTCTTGGGCTTAGACAATTCTCTTGCCTCAGCCTCCCGCGTAGCCGGGACTACAGGCACCTGCCACAGTGCTTGGCTATATTTTTTGTTGCAGTTTGGCTGGGGCTGGGTTTGAACCCACCACCCTTGGTATATGGGACCAGCACTGTACCCATTGAGCCACAGGCACCACCCATGCTTTTCTCTTTTTAACCAGTCTTTTGTTATAGGAGTGTCATCTGTGACCCTTATGGTGGGTGAGGAAAGGTATCACACCTCTCTGCTCCTACAGGTTCAATGCGTTTGAGAGTCTATGTCTCAATTTTATTCCCTACTTCTTTTAACTGCAAATTATTCCTCAGTTTCCAGTTAAAATATTTCTCCTCAGACTGTTTCCTGTCATAAGCTCACATCTCACTCTGCCCTCATTCATCACTTAATCACACCTGTCATTTTAATTGTTTAACATCTGTCTTTCCCCATCAGCTGAGCGCAATGCCTGCCTCATTTACACCCACATTCCTAAAATCTTTTACAGTGTCTAGCACCTGATAGGCACTCGATGCGTGTTGGCTGAATGAATTAATGAATTATAGTACACTGTTAATAAACTTTCAAGAAGAAACATCCAGAGACACCCACTATAGAACATTTTATTTGGAAAGCGTTTGAGTATAATATTCTGTCCTCACTTTTCATTAAGGCAGTAACATACTTCCTTCCCGAAGGCAGATGGGGGGGGAAATCATCTGAGGCTACATTAATTTCAGACTAAAGTCAAAGCCAACCACTTTGCATTCAGAAGCAGCAAAAATACTGGTTATGGGCTGGGAGAAGCCACATATTGGCTTCCTGAACCCACTGCCAAGGAACAGATCCAGGGTGATACATTTCAATTGCTTTGAAAAATGGCTAAGTTCCATTACACACCATCCCTAAAAAAGATAACTTAGTGATAAACCCTTCCGGCATGGTAGAGGGAGGCTAGTGTTGGTTCACAATGCTCTGTTGCTTTCTGCCTTTGATTGGTTTCTGTGGAAGCTGCGGATTCTACAAAGCTGTTCAAATTCCGAGTTTGTCTGGTTTTGTTTTGGAATTCTTTTAAATGTCCAGTAAATTAGCTCCTCATAAATCAACTCAGCCAGTTCTTATCCAACATGGACTCATTCTACTGTAGACATCTGATGAGATATGTGGGGCGGGAGGGCGGGGGTGTTGCTATTCATTGGCACATATTGCTCCCTGGGGCTGAGGGGAGGCAAAAAGCTTTTATAGTACCAAAAAAGTAAACATTGATAATATGGCCTGACAGCAATCAGATATGGTAAGATCTAAAAGCAAGTGAAAGCAAATCAGGATTGCTTGCAAATGTCAACCGATATTTAGCCATATCAAAAATAACTAGATCTAACCTGCAGAGCTAAGCACATGGAGAGGCAGCACCCTAAAGGATGCTTTGCTGTAGCTCCATGCTGCTCCCTAGTGGTCAGATGCTGCATTATATCCTCCTTGGGTCCAACCTTCCCCCGGAGTTAAGAATCTACCAGAGGACACAGTGTTCAAGATGTTAGAACGGGTTTGAGCACAAATTCTTGGGTCAAAAACAAAAAAGATTCTTGCTGGCTAAAAAGCCAAAGAGTAATGACATTTGGGACTCCAGATCTAAGGAAAGGCTCTGATGATAAGGCTCACTTCTACAGGCTACCAGAGACTCTTGAGATCTCAGTAGCCTTAAGGATTTGTCAGGTGCTCCAGTGGCCTGGAGACAAGGAGGGCCTGAAGAAGAGGGCCACAGAGAAGGCATATTTCTGAGAGGGTGAGGGACAGTGTCACAGGGAGAGAGACTAGGAAAAGGGGACAGGAAGACAGGCTTGTAACAGGTCAAATGTCAATCTCCAATAATAGGCATTAGGGCAGGTTTGAAGATTCCTTCTCCTGGTCCTCACCTCCACCAAAGAAAAAGGCAGCCATATTAAATTTGTTTGAAAGATTACATGAAAATTAACAACACTGCAGCTTCTATTTTTGACTACTGCAAAAGCAGAAAGGATGCACGGAAAATCTTTTTATCTGTAGATTTTCCAAGAAGCAAATACATAAAGAATAATAAAAAAAAAATACAATCAGTGTTACCTGGTTTCTTGTACCCTCAATGAATCCCCAACAATAAAAATAAAAAAGAAAGAAAGAAAGAAAAGTATTTGTAGGAGATTGGGCCTTCTGCAAAGAATGAAGCATTTTTTGTTAAATAGGGGAGAAGCTACTTGGCTGTACAAGTATGCACTTTTTGGAATCTTGTAAAATGTCACCAAGTTGGACTCTGGAATGACTGAATCGTCCCGGTGCTTCCTGGGAGTGTCCTGGGCTGGGCAGTCAGGAGTGAGGTGCTGCCTCCTGCCCCACCCTAGGGGCTCACACCCTCTTCATTCCTTTCCCCATGAGGCAAGCAAACACCGTCATGACCATTTTGGGGTTCACTTCAACCAGGTCTTCTGGAAGGGCATACACTCTTGCTCCAATTTTTCGGGCCATAGAGATGGCATACCTAAAAGGGAGGAAAGAGGAAGACTGAAGACAGCCTGAGCAAAAAGGCAGGGAGGGGACAAATTTGGGCTCAACCAAAGCCCCTGGCCAAGCACTGGACTTGCCACCTAGACCGTGATAACCATCAAATGTATTTTTTGTCCTTGGAGACATCCCCTAACATTGGATTTACATTTAATCTACAAAGCTGTTCAAATCCACACCAGGATTAGTGTCTTGAGCTATATAGTAGCAGGACAGAAGAAGTCACAGAACTGAATTAAAATTTGTATGAGGAAAAGTCTGCAGACTATATTTCAACCAGAGAAACATTTTCACAAGAAGGAAAAGAGAAAAAAGGCATCTATAATAACTTGACCTGACACATCAATTCTTTGATTCTTCATTTCCTTCTAATGCTTGCTCACATGGACATGTACTTATGGTTCCATAATTTACAATGGCCAGAGATTTATAAAGTTATAATAGCTGCAACACAATATTTTTGCTCTATTTATAGGTATATGGAGATCATTTTTATTAGTTGTAATCTATTTTCTTTTTATTTCTTTCTTTTTTTTATTGAGAGAGAGTCTCACTTTGTCACCCTCAGTAGAGTGCTGTGGCATTGCAGCTCATAGCAACTTCAAACTCTTGGGCTTAAGCGAGTCTCTTGCTTCAGTCTCCCAAGTAGCTGGGACTGCAGGCACCCGCCACAATGGCCGGCTATTTTCTGTTGAAGGTGTCATTGTGGTTTGTTTGGCAGGCCCAGGCTGGGTTCGAACCTGCCAGCTCTGGTGTATGTGGCTGGCACCCTAGCCACTGAGCTTTAGGTGCCGAGCCAATGTAATCTATTTTCAAATGAACTCAGACTATTACCTGGCAGTTCTTTTACTCACTTCATTTACTACCCACTGACCTCTTACTGTGGTTACTCCAGAGATCCTTAACTGCACCAAGGCCGTGATACTCCCCCACTGCTCTTCTAAAATGTCTTTACTCTTACTCTATTTAGCAAAGTACAGTAAAAGCATCAGGTAGGAGAAGTCCCATTCTTTCTGTCTCCTCTCAATAACTTTCTCTCTATTAATTATTAATGAAGTAAAGTTAATTTTTCCATTATAAAACATAGAGGGAAAATTGCTTGAAAATCAAAAGGAAGCTTCAAAACAATCCACAAACAATCTTAGCACCATCATATAACTATTCTTAGCATTTTGTATAATTCCTCTCATCCATTTGTCTAAGTCATTTTGTACCCTGTCTTGTGTGTAGGGGCTCGGAAGCCAGACTTTGAATCTCAGCAGCACAACTTAAAAACTATATGACTTGCTGTGTTCCTTATGCCTAATCATGTCCTTGAACATCTGGGTGGAGGTTCTTTTTCTTTATGAATTTCTGGGTCTTCAGAGGTGTTCTTTTTGCTACTTGGATTTTCTTCTCCCCTCCCTCACCTGTCTGCTTCCTTCTCACTTGTCCTCTCAATTTAGACCAGGTAGGATGTTTTTTCCTCTAAAGAACTCAATCTGCCTCCTGTCTCCTCAAGGACACTCTGTCCTCTCCCATCCACACCCCCACCACACTCCATTATAAGGATTATCTTCTCTCCATTAGATTGTGTTAAACATCAGCATTCTGGGAACACAGGTCCCCGGTTTCCTGAATTCAGAACAGAGAGAAGAGCCCTATAGGGATTATAAAGCAGGGGTACTGGGCACTAGAGACTTGTCAATTCCAAACCCATGTTATGGGCTGAACTAGCCCTTCCAAATTCCTATGTTGAAGTCCTGACCCCCAGTATGTCAGACCGTGAGTCTATATGGAAGGAGGGCTGTCACAGAGGAAATTAAGAAGAGGTCGTGCTGCAGTAGGCTGGGGCCTCAATCTAATGCAACTGGCATCCGTAGTAGAAGAGAGAAGAGACATGGGCACACACAAACAGGGAAGACGGCCAAGTGGGACAAAGGCCATTGGAAGACAAAGGCACAGATGAGAGTGATGGGCCTGCAAGCCCAAAGACACCCACGATCACAGACCCTCAGGGATTCTCCCTCAGAAGGAATCAACCCCCTGACAACATTTCCCTTCAGACTTCTAGTTTCTCCAACTATGAGAAAATACACTTCTGTTGTTTTAAGCCACCCAGTTTGTGAGGTACTGTGCTATGGCAGCCTTAGGAAACTCATACAGCCTGCCCTGAGAAAGCCTCCTGTCTACAGCAGAGGCCAGCAAACTTTTCTGCAAAGGACCAGAGAGGAAATATCTCGGGCTTTGTTGCAGCCACTTAAGTCTGTTGTTGTAGCAGGGACGTAGCTCTAGATAATATGTAAACAAATGGAGCTGTGTCCCAATAAAGCTTTATTTATAAAAGCAGACAACAACAGACCAGATCTGGCTCAGAGACTATAGGCTGCTGACCCCTTGCTCTAGAGCAGCGGTTCTCAACCCGTGAGTCGAGATCCACAGGAACTGTATTAAAGGGCCGAGGCATTAGGAAGGTTGAGAACCACTGCTCTAGAGGAATCTAGAGGTGACCTAAATAGTAAAGTACATGGCAGTGGCTCTCCAGCTGGTGAAGCTGCTGGTGATGAACCTTAACCCCGCACATTCTTACACATGAATATTCATGAAGGGGGTGTCTGTATCTGGGGCTCAACATATACAAACTTCATTTTGAAATCTATTAGAATTAGGAAATTGGTTTTATGAAACTATAAGCTTGTTTATCAACTGTGAGAATAGCCTCTCTCTCTCTCTCTTTTGGTCTTCCTCCTGTTCTAACACTAGGAGCTTTAAACTGCTTGCTACGGTACCATATCCAAAACAGTGGTGATGAAACCGTAATACGCCATGATCAGACAAGGCATGAATAGTGAAAGGAAGGCTCCTGCACAAAGTCACGGGTATTAGGCTTCACAACTGTGCAGTTGCCAGCTGGGTCCTTCCCTCCTGATAGCAGTTTTATTTACGTACTTTGCATTGTTGAGTTTCTCTTCATCATCCAGGTTTTCTGTCTTCAGAAGATCATAGTTAATGGAACCTGGTTGAATGGCATCAATGAGATCCAGAACAGGCAGGCTCGTGCTAATCTTTGGGTCCTAAATGTGAAGAAAAGGAAAGTTTTATCAGCATCTTCCAAAGTTACTTCCGTTTGGCTCCAAGGGAGCAAGTGGCTTTCTTAAATAGGAAGTACATGCAGCTGGGTTTCAGAAGTGCCACAGTATCCTACACAGTGTCATATCAACTGTAGTTTCTGTGTGGGTGCCAGTAACTTCCCAGGAAACCCACTGTCTGCCATCAGCTGGGAGGTGTTCTCAATGAGTAAATGGAAGGAAGTTGGCACAATTAGAGAAAAACACAGAGGTTGAAATATGTCACATTACCAATAATATGGCATCATAGTGAAGGAAGGGATGGTTTAAAAAAGAAAGCATCAGCATGGAGAGATTACAGGTGTTAGGAGGAGCCCTGTTCATTCACTGCGGGAGGAATCCCAGAGGGGCGGCAGGAGAGCAATGAAGGTGCAGTTGGATGAGAGCTGCAATCCATGCTCCTTTTATGGAGA